GCACGGCGGACGAAAGCTCACGGGCCGCAGTCACGGCCCCACGTTCGACTGCCATCTTGAGGCACGACGCACCGCGGGCACGTCTCACTTGCACTATTGCACGTTGCACGAGCGCGCGCACACATGCACGCCACCCCTCCTTGCCGCATAAATATATATATATATATATATATATATATATATATATATATGTACACCTATATATATATAACACAAAACACGTGCTCGGCGGCGGGGCCGTCGAGGCCGAGGTTGGGCGCGGCGGGGGCGGGGCAGGGATTGGCCTCGCACGCGCCCACTGGCCCCCGCGAAGCAACGCCGCGACGGCGGAGGAGGGAACTGCGATAACACATTTTAGCATTAGCTTTCTCTGTCGCCCACACGCGGTAAAAATATGGAAGGCAACTCGCGCATAAATTACTGCACTCGCGCTGCTTGCGCGCGCAATTTGCCGCGATCGACCAAGTCGGAATATAGTTCGAGCTCCCACACGGGAGTAGCGCATTGGGAGCACTGCTGGGGGGCCGATCCGTCTCTCCCAGACCGCCTTCAAAACACATATCCTGGGCCCCGCATCTAGGTAGCCGCAAATGAACCTCCTGGCCCCGTCAACTGCCCCGACTCCCCAGCGGGGGGCCAGATGGTTTAGCTCCAATAACTTGTCGCAAATATTGCACTGCAGTTTCCTGCCCACTCAGCCTGAGGGATGCCCGGTAGCTCACGTAGCTCGCGATTGGCAGAAATCGCTGTCGGCCCCAAGCCAAACTTGGCACTCGCGTCTTGCATGATGGGCCATTGCAATGTCCAGGTTGCCATTGAATGAAGCGAGATCAGGCGGGGGGGGGGGCGCGCCGGGCCCCACCGCGGGGTCGCCTGGCCAAGCTGCGCGACCCACTGGGGATAGCGCGGGCCGCCGGCGAAAAAGGTTGCCCCACAATGCGGCGCAGCGACGCGAGCGCGCAGGCACCCACGCCAGCCGGCTCGACTAAATGACGGAACGCTTTGCCCCGGTGAGAAAAAGCTGCATGCCAATCGGCAACTGCTGGCGCGAAAGGCGGCCAATTGCCCCCCCTTTAACTCCCCCCCGAAAAAACGAGGGCCGCGGAACAAAATTATGAAAGATATAAGCAGAAATCACGCGAGCCCCATCCCGAAACTCACGAGCAACCGTGCCCAGAGAGATATGTTTACCGGGAGCTGCCCGCGCGCACGCGTCGCAGGGGCGGGGGCCAACTGCGCCCTCCAAGCAAAGGGGGCGGACGGCGATAATCCCTACGAGTTCAGCGCGGAGGACGCAGTGACACCGACGACCTGCAAAGAGACCTTGCTGTTGGGCACCTAGAAAGAAATCGCGGTGGCTACGCACTGGGATAACAGCACCTACGGTCGCTCCTTTGCTGCATCCATCAATGGCTCGCGGGGAGAAACATCAGCTCTTTGCTTCGAGACCAGCCCCAGGCATACTCGCTGGTTATATTACGAGCCTGACGCCGTTGAACTCGGGCGACGCGCGCGGAAAATGTCGGGGGTCTGCTTCAGAAATGGCCAACACAGAAGTATTGGAAAGTGCGCATTGAAGGCATTGTTATTGCGGCCCGCAGAGGCGTTCTCAGGTTGGCGCTGGCTGCGAGGGTTGGATCGCTTCTGGGCAGCCCGTCGCGGTGGCCCTGAGCTTGAACCCCCTTGTGTTTCCGCGGGCTCTTGCCCGCCCGCTGGTGCTCCATGCCCCAAGATACGTTGCTTTGCAAGGCCCTCTTCTGCGAGTTGGCTTGCCGAGGAAGCCCCCGACGTGGCGCGCTTCGTGGAGGGCGGCCTGGACTGCGTCAGCTTACACATCAGCTTTAGTTCGCTCGGTACACACACTCTTCCCAGCAGCTGCACAATCATGATCAACACTGCGACCGTCCCCTTGCATATCCCCGCTATCTTGTAGCTGGCACAGTATGTCACACTCATCCTCTTGACTGGAAATACGCCACCCCCTGACGCATGCTGGCCCCCGCCTCAAGTGAGCCATTTTCTCGATAAGGCGTCACATAGCATGTCTGCCCCGCACGACGCAGCTCATCACACTGGACCAAGAATATGACGCAGGACGCGCGTGCTGTAACGAACTGCTCCCAACTGCGAGGATGCACGCGCGATGCTGTCGACCGTGGACCCCGTAGGAGCCTGCTCAAATCTCTCAACATCCCCAACCTGAGAGGCTCCATATCGACATCATGTTCAGAAAACTACCCGGCATTATAATCATGTGTTATCTGAATGCGGTGGATGAGGATACAAAAAATGAAACACGTCCTCAACCAATGTCGTCGTCCTCGTGTCCTTTTTAACAATAACCTGTGTTGCCTTACACATGATATTCGCAAAAGTTCGGAGGCTTGCGGGCGTATTGGGGCCGGGGCGGCGCAGGTTCTCGTAGTTTTTCCTCGGGTATGCGTGATTTCTCTTGAACAATCACGGTGGACAATGCAGAAGGACCTTCGGTTTTCCGATGTTGGCGTCGAGTTGCACCTCCTTCACCGACATCAACTTCCCACTTGTCCTTCCTGCATTTCCCACGGTTGCCCTCCCCGTTGCCCTTCTTTTTGTCGAAATGCGACTTCCCGTGGCCCGTGTCCTTGTCGGTCCTCCATGGATGCTACCCCAAAGGATAGCACCATGATCCTGACGGGACGATGCCTTTTCTGGTTAGACTGAGGGCCCTTGCCGAAACCGAAGCCGAAGTATTTGGGATTAGGGAGGAGGGGCCTTGACCCCACCCCTGACCAGACAGGACTCTGTGATGAGAACTTGCTGGGTCGGGAGAGATTGGTTCATGGTGCGGAAGGCGCTGGAGGAAGGCGAACACCATGATAGCAACACTTCTACCAATGCTCCTTTTTCTTGGAAACCCACACGAAGTACATGAGACTTGGTAAATGTCGAATGACCCATTACTACGAGTGGGTCCGATGTCCTCGGGTATGTAAGATGAGCTACTGCGCGGCTGAATGATGCAGCCTTGTGATCCGAGGATCGGTGAATGCGTGTCGGTCGGACGCCCGATACACCTTGAGCCACAATGGTTTGAACCACCATGGTTTCCACTGTTCCTCCTCCTCTTCTTCCTCTTCCTGCTCCTCCTTTTCGTCCTCCTCCTCCTCCTCATCATCATCACCATCATCCTCATCTTCATCCTCATCCTCATCATCATCCTCTTTTTCATCCTCCCCCCCTCCTCCTCCTCCTCCTCCTCCTCCTCCTCCTCCTCCTCATCATCATCATCATCATCATCATCATCATCATCACCCTCATCCTCATCCTCATCCCCATCATCTTTTTCATCCTCCTCCCCCTCCTCCTCCTCCTCCTCCTCCTTCTCCTCCTCCTCCTCCTCCTCTTCCTCCTCCTTATCCTCTTCCTCCTACCCCTCCTCATCATCAGCACCATCATCAGCATCATCATCAACATCATAATCAGCATCATCACCACCACCTGTCCCATCATCAACATGATCATCATCATCACCACCATCATCCTCTTTCTCTTCGAGACCGCAAGAGGCCCGCGGGTTCCCAAGGCCTCGGGCGGTGAAGTGCCAAGCCACGACGGGCGACAAGCAATGGCTGTGGCGGCAGCTGCGGATTACCCTACAGGGTCAAAGCCAGCAAGAAAACAACAAAGAAATATCATCGGGCCGCAGCTAGATGGCCAAGGGAGCAGGGAACGGAGGAGAGAAAGGACGAGGAAGGGCGCGGAAAGCGAAGAAATGTATGCTAAACGATCAAACCAGCGGACGTAAAAGCCAACACCTGGTCGCAACATTGCCGGGTGGACGCCGGCGCGTCGCACGCTGCAGGAAGGAGGCTTGCGCGACACACACTTCAAGAGCAAAGCAGGCGGAGGAAAAACGGTAGGACAGACACCCCCGAGCAAGTTCTGTAACGAGGCTCGCGCGTGCGTAGACCGACATTGGTAGGCGGCGCGAGCACTGAAGCCCACGCGAGCAATTGCGACTGAAAAAAAGCGGAGGGAGGGGGGAGCAGAAGAAAGTACCCCATATTTGCAGGGTGTGCGCAACAAAACCGGCCCGGGTCCTACCATGTAGGGTCGACCGCGGCTGGGCGCGAACACCTGGGGTGCGGCTGGCCTGTAAAAATCACGAAAGAAATGATAGAGTAGGAGCTCCGGGGCAGGCGAAGAGCGCCGGCCACCCATGGAGCTACACGACTGGCCCCAGAGCGCATGCACGGGCTAGAAACGCAGGACACAGCGGAGAGAACAAGGAGAGGAGGGTGGGGGTACGCATCAGCCAGAAAAGCCCTCATATCATGTCCAGGACGGCCGCCAGAGCCACGGTGCTGCGATCCAGAGGGTGGCGCACGCTTCTGGCCAGGAAGACGTCACCACATCGGCATCGGAGATGGACTCAAAGACGAAACTGAAGTAAGACCGCAACTGGGGTCGGAGACGACGCGATGCTCACCTCTGATGTGGAGGAGGGAGTACGCCGTAGCAATTCCCAGGTCCGGCCGTCATGCACTACCATCGGTACTCTGCCAGGTCGGCCAGGACGACGTCCCCGCAGCTGTCCGGGTAAATGGGACCACGCAGGCGTCGGAGTTGGAGTCGGAGTTGCATACGGAATAGGAGTTTGCTTCAGAGTCTGATCAAATGCTCGACTCTGATGTGGCAGGCAGCATGCAGTCGGTGACGATACAGGCGATGCTCTCGGTGATATCGGCCACGATGCCAGGACGGAGGTTCACAAAACGCGCCCCCGTTTTCCCTGGTGGGCACCGTGGCCGGCTCGGTGCAACAGCGCTGGCCATCGAAGCGGTGCTCACCCGGGATGCGGTGAAGGTGGATCATCATCATCATCATTATCATCATCATCATCATCATCATCATCATCATCATCATCATCATCATCATCATCATCATCATCATCATCATCATCATCATCATCATCATCATCATCATCATCATCATCATCATTAGCATCATCCGTTGACCTTCTTGATGAAGTCGCGCCGAATGTAGCCTTCGGTTTCGCTGTTGAGCGGCAGGCCCATGGGAATGTCGCTTTCCTCGTCGGAAGTCGTGCCCTGCTTGCCTCTGGATCGGGAGGGGGCTGCTGGGGAGGCGAAGGAGGAAGAGAGGCGGGGAGGGGGAGGAGCAGCACAGGGAGGAGCAGCAGAACGAGCAGCAGACTGGGCAGCGGCCGCGGCAGCACGCGAAGGGGGAGGGGGGAAGAATGATGAGGAGGAGAAGGAGGAGGATAAGGAGGAAGAGAAGGACAGGCAAGAGCAGGGGTAGGGGAAGAAGAGGAGGCGCAAGAGTGAAAGGATAGGAGGACGACGAGGGACAGGAGGAGGAGCAGAAGGAGAGGGAGGGGAGAAGAAGGATCACGAGCAGAAGGATCAGCACCGAAGGGAGCATGAGCAACACTGCAGAAGAAGCAGCAGCGGTAAGAGCAGAATGAGGGGAGGGGGAGGAGGTGGAGGAGGAAGAGGAGGAGCAGCAGAAGCAACAGCAGGAGGAGCACCAGCAACAGGAGGTGGAAGAGTGCGTCTTGCTCCCAAGCTAGGATTGCCTGAAATGGTCTCACTGCCTGCCCCATAGCTACCTCACTACGGGCGGCCTGGGCCAGTGTCACTCTCGTGTCCCTCCTGAGCCCCTGCACTGATCCTCTTGAAAGTGCCACCTCGCTGCTGTCGCACTCCATACTACCAGAATTCGAGCTACGAAACTCACTCAAGGCGTGCTCGATCCCACCGCACACCGTGCTGCCAGCGTTGCCAGCATGAACTCCCTCTGAGCGTGTCGACTCTGGTTCGGTACACTTCGCGCTGCCAGAGGTTTTGCCACTGAACTCGTCGAGAAACTCACACCGAGCGTGCTGGCTCGCGTCTAACGCGCTTCGCGCTGCCAGCGTTGCTTCCGGAGCTGTTGCCAAGAAGACCGTCCCGAGCGTGCCAGCTCGCTTCTGGCGCACATCGCACTGCCAGCGGTCTCCCACAACTGCCAGGCTTGCCTGCAGGAACCCCGCCGCCTGCTGGCCAGCCCTCCCACCACAGGCGCCCCAGGCCGGCGACCCGACCCTGCCCCCCCGCGCGTCCCTTCCGCGCCCCTCCCGCGAGCCTCGAGAGCGTGCCGGCCCGATCATGGCGCGCCTCGCGCTGCCCACGCTCTGGCCACGGGGGCCCCCTCCGAGCGCGCCGGCCCGCCCCCAGGGCGGGGCGTCCCGACCCCTGCATGGCGGGGGCGCCGGAGGTCGTTGGAGGTCGGGGGGGAGGGGCTCTCCTCACGGCGGGCGCGGCCCGCCTGAGCGCCCGCCTGCTTGGCCCCGCCGGCCCTGACCTCCCGCCGGCGCGTTCAACGTCCGCCGGCTGTTCCTGGTGCTCTTTCTGACAGCCACTGTCCGTCCTGCAACCCCACCCAGCCACCCCTGAGGAGATAAACGGGCACTGTCTTTTTTGTTACCATCAATTCGCCACGTCCCGCGTGCTCGGCAGGCCCGTTGTGACTGAAAGGAACGAATGCGCCGCGCAGGACGGCCTGGCCCCGTGGGGCTCGACCGCCCGCCTCGTGGACGTGAACGGGACGCCCCGCAGATGGAGTCCCGCCCGTGGGGCGTGGACCATCGGCCTCGTGGAGGCGCGAAGGCGTGACCCGGGAGGCGGCCACGGCCCGTCGAGCGTGGGCCGCCAGCCTCGTGGAGGCGAAGGTGCAGGCCGGAAGGCGGCCCCAGCCCGTGGGGCGTGGACCGTCAGCCTCGTGGAAGCGAAGGGAAGACCCGAAGAGGATCCCGCCCCAGGGGGCGTGAACCACCAGCAGCCTGGAGGCGGAGGTGCAACCCGGGAGACGGCCCCGGCCCGCGGGGCGTGGACCGCCAGCCTCGTGGAGGCGAAGGGAAGACCCGAAGATGATCCAGGCCCTTGGGGCGTGAACCATCACCCTCGTTGGAGCGAAAATAGCGGGCGCGGCCCGGCGGCGGCGGCCCTCAGCCTTCAGGCGACGCAGTGTCCACCACCACCACCCATTCGGGAGGGCGGGCGAGAAAAACACTGAATATCGTAGCACCCTCCAGTTGCCGATAAGAGTAAAGGGGCAGGGGCGGGGTGGGTCGCGGGTGGGTCGCGGGGTGGCTCCCACGCGAGAGCGCGATTCCTCCATAAATTGTGAGGAAGTCCCGCGCGAGAGCGCGACTTGGGAATAAATTTTGAGGAAGTATCAGGCGGTGGGATCAATAATGATTACTCCTTAAAAATAAGACGACAACAGCAGCAGCAGCAGCAGCAACAACAACAACAATCATTTTACCCTCATGCGCGATGTTTCCACACGAAGCATGCGACCATCATGATAACCGTCCACATCATAGGGGACTATAGTTCTATAGCGGGGCCGTTATTCCCATTCCCAGATCTCCCGCCCAATGAGGTCTTGCAAACACCTCATCCGAGGAATTTCAACATATCCAGCCTCGAAAAAACATGCCCGCGCCTTGCTGCGCCGATGCGAGACCGCCAGTGGAACCCCAGCGAAGGGTAAAGCACAAGGAAGTATCGAACGACAGCATTGCCTTGGTGGGGGTGAGGGCTGTTGGCGGTGAGGCAAGGACCTGGCCCTGAATAGAAAGGGAGGAAATCTCGAGCAGGGCTGCTGTTGCTGCTGGGAGCGGCGCCAATGCTGAAGAGAGTAGGGCGCTAGTCCAGCGTAAAACAAAACGAAGTCTCGAGCGGGAACGCTGGTTTTGTTTGGGACGGCGGCTTTCGGCGGCGAGGAGAAACACCGCCTTGAGTAAGAAAGGAGGAAGCATCGAGCGGGAGCGCTGGTTGTGTCGAGACAGGGGCTGTCGGCGGCGAGGAACAGCACCGTCCCGAGGAAAAAGAGAGGAAATCTCGAGCGGGAGCGTTGTTCTTGCTGGGAACGGCGCCAATTCAAAAGAGAGTAGGGCGCCAGTCCAGCATAAAACGCAAGGAAGTCTCGGGCGGGAGCGCTGGTTTTGTCGGGGCGGCGGTTTTCTGCGGCGAGGAGAAACATAGCCTTGAGCAAGAAAGGAGGAAGCATCGAGCGGGAGCCGTGGTCTTGTCGGGACGGGGGTTGTCGGCAACAACAAGGAACAGCACCGTCTTCAGAAAAAAGGGAGGAAGCCTCGAGCGGGAGAGTTGTTCTTGCTGGGAGCGGCGCCAATTCAAAAGAGAGTTGGGCGCCAGTCCAGCGTAAAACGGAAGGAAGTCTCGGGCGGGAGCGCTGGTTTTGTCGGGGCGGCGGTTTTCGGCGGCGAGGAGGACCACCGCCTTGAATAGAAAAGGAAAGAAACCTCAAGCGGGAGCGTTGTTTTTGCTGGGGGCGGCGCCGATGAGAGAAAGACTAGCGCGCCAGTCTAAGGTAAGACGGGTGGATGTCTCGAGCGGGAGCGCTGGTTTTGTTAGGACGGCGGCTTTCGGCGGCGAGCATGAACACCAGCCCTGAGTAAAAAAGGAAGAAATCTCGAGCGGGAGCGTTGTTGTTGTTGGGGGGCCGGTTTGGGCGGTCCCCCAAACCGCTCGAGCGTGAGCCTCATTTTCAATGATAATGTAGCCGACGCTTCGGCGAGAGCGCCAGGGCGCCTGTAAGGGGTCCAACAATAATACAAATTTAATAATTAACATTCAACAACCATCATGTCAAGACCGGTCGCTCGTATCTGCTCGCGTGCCATTCAACACATAGACCCCAAACCCTCGAAACCCACCCTCTTCGTCTTCGATCGTATCCCCTTGGGGGCATCTCTTTCTTATCTGCAACGTGCATGTCGTGCAGCACTTAAGGCAGGGGAATAGAGGACGGATGGAAGGGGGAGGGACAAGGAGGGAGAGAGGAGGATGGAGCACGAAAGAGAATAGCAGGAGGGGAGCTAGGAGCAGAAAACACGTGGCAGAACCAGACGGGCAGATCGGGCGGGTAGACCCTAACAGGCGGGCCCAGGCGGCCAGGTCGAGCAGGCGGGTGGCTGAAGCGTGCGTCCTGCATGATTCGCGAGGAAGCCTTGAACGACAGCGCGATTCCAAAATAAATCTCGTGAGGGAATCCACAGAAAGAGCGTGATTCCTGAGTGTCGAGGGCGCGGCGCCTGAATCAATTGCGAGGAAGTCTCAAGCGACAGCGCAGTTCCTGAGTGTCGAAAGCGCGACACCTGAATAAGTTGAAAGGAAATCTCAGGAGAGAGCGCGACTTTTTGATGAATTGCAAGAAAAGCCCTAGCAAAAACAATATGTTTCTATAAATTGCAAGGAAACATCAGGCGGGAGCCGTTGTTGTTGTAAACCGGGGGCCAGGGGCATAGTTTGAGCAGGAAGACTTCCCCTTTAAAAAATAAGGTGCGAGCCCCGAAGGAGGCATATCAATTGCGTGAGTCCTGCATAAAGCGCCAGGAAATGTCGGGCGAGAGCGCGATGCCTAAGTAAATTATGAGGAAGTCCCAGGCGAGAGCGCGATTCCTGAATGGCGAGGGCGTGGTGCCTGAATAAAATGTGAAGAAGTATCAGGCGAGAGCGCGATTCTTGGATAAATTGCAAGGAAGTCCCTAGCAAGAACGCGATTTTTCTATAGATTGCAAAGAAACAGCAGGCGGGAGCCGTTGTTGTTGTAAACCGGGGGCCAGGGGCACAGTTTGAGCAGGAAGACTTTCTCAATTAAAAAACAGGGTGCGAGCCCCAAGAGGGGCACTTCAATTGAAAAAACACATGTTGCCGGAGAGGGACAAGCAACCATAATTATTGTTCAATAGTGCGAGTTCAACAACAGCAACAAACATTTTAAGACTGGTCGCTCAGATCTGCTCGCGTGCCATTCAACACGTATATCTCAGACCCTCGATGCCCGCCCTCATCGTCTTCGATCGTACCCCCGTAGGGGTGTATCTTTCTTACATGCAACGTATATTTCGTGCAGTCCCTAAGGCAAAGGAAGTGAGGACGGATGGAAGGAAGGGACAAGGGGCAGGCGGGCTGCTGAAGCATGCAGCCTGCATGAATCGCGAGGAGGTCTCGAGCGATAGCTCGATTCCCAAACAACTCGTGAAGAAATCCACACTCAGAACGTGGTTCCTGAGTGTCGAGGGCGCGG